GGAAGATCCATATTGTAATTCTCTTCAACTCTTCTCCAAAATCCCCCTACTTTTTGGTCTGTGCCAATGATCGGATCCATGCTTACATTTATCCAAGATTGGATCAATCGAATATCTTCGTCACGAGACCAATTTATTTGTTGGACAGGATGAGCTTTCCTTTGAGGGAGACGCGTGGTTTGTGTCACGGGGTGAGAGGGAGTAAGTGGTTGTTGGGAGTTACATTGTGATTCATTGTTTGTAATCTCCCCTTGAAGCAACAATTCAGTGAAGCTTCTAACATCATTCTCCATTTTAACCTACATATTTGACAAAATCAATTTCAATTGTATCATGACCCCAAAGAATTAGACCTTCTCCAATTTCAATTTTAGAACGTGAAGGTATCATTTCTGTAGAATGTCATGCACTCACTTTCCCCCAACAATTTCATTTATATTTTCTTACTCCTATTTTTTTCCCCTTGAGTGAGCAAAAAAAAGGTGGAAAATGTATACTGTTAGGAGTGATATCAGCCTTTGAAGGATTTTATACAAACCAAATATATGAGGAATGGAGAGTTTGTAAAAAAAAGTATGACTGTTTGATGGAAAATGATTTATAGTGTGCATCACTGGGTGTGGAGAACAAGAGATGAGACCATGACACTATACACAGGGATGGGGAGAGTTCTCTTTCAAATTCATACTGTGTCATTTTAGAACTTGAAGCAACTCCACTGTCCTAGGAGCTATACTGGCTGAATTATCAAGTTTTCAATGTCCAACTCTTTAATTGGAAAGCCACAAATAATTGTTTGGCTTTCCCTAATCATATCACTATATATAATATACACTTGTCATCTACATGTCCTTTTTGCAAGTTACATAGTGCATCAAATGAAATCTCTTTTTTCATTTTCCTGAAAACTCTTGCTTACTACATGTGTTCTGTGTTACCTATTTGTTTAAAAAAAAAATTGACAAACACACACTATATCATCCTTTTATAGATAGTAAAATGAAAGAAATTTTTTTTTTTGACAAATCCAACAATAGATCATCATTTTACCATTTTATCAAACACCTTGTGTGTACTAGGAAAAAAATTCACCATCACAATGTAAAATAAGAATCACAATCAACTCACAATACACAATGAAAAAATAAAAGAAGGCTTGCAGATGAGATTGGGGGGAGTTGAGTAGCAGGAGTACCTGGGCTTTTGACGAGGGTGGCCGGCGCTGGTGGCGAAAGAGACTGTGATTTTCCCGGTGGTTGCAGCAAGTGATTTACGCAGAGAATAGAGACTAGAAGCGACCGATTATTTCCTAGATGCCTTGATCGATGCTCCTATTTGCCTCGCACACGCCTCGCAAATCGAAATGGCTCGCTCCATTCCACGCGATCTAATTTTTGCCACGCCCACTGTGTCTCTTCGATCTCCACGCAAGTCAGGGCCTGTCACCTAAAATATTTGCCGCTGCAGCCAATGCTCTTAATTAAGTTGCTTTTAGTTTTGTTTTTATATTTTGGAAAAAATCACACCAATACTCCGAAAATTACACGAGTTTACATAAATATTCCAAGATTCAATGTATGACATCAATGCTCCAGCGCTCCTAAAATCTTTTTATACTCACATCGGTGCTCCGAAAAGTGATATGTGTTTACATCAGTGCCCCAACATTTGGAGCATAGAAGTAAACTAAAATCAGTTCTCGGAGCAACGATGTGAATATAGGAAAATTTTGAGAGCATTAGTGTCATTTAAGAAATCTCAAAGTATTTATGCAAACTCGTGTCATTCTAGGAGTATTGGTGTGAATTTTTTCTTATATTTTTGAGTGTTATTAGGCTATACGTAACACATAACACTCTTGTAGAGCGTGAGTGTTCATATGTGAGTTGCCAAGTGACCATGATCACAGGCGTAACAAGAATGGCAAGTTAGTATTATGTATAATAAATTATTTAATTTTTAAACGAAATCACTCTAATTGATCAAAATATGAGTTCTTTATTTTTATCTCTAAAATATGAATTTGCATTATGGTAATGTGGCATTGTATATGAATATTTCATAATACGTTTTGGTATTGTATATAGTCATTATTATTGACAGTGTATATGCATTTTAAATTCTATTCTGGAAAAAATATGGAACTTCTATTTTATTATATTTTTAATGTTTTACTAGTACTTTAATCTTTTTTCCTTAATTTAATTTCTCTACTGCAACGTTTAATTTTAAATTATGCTATCAAGTTTTTTCTTTTACTTCATGTACTTTAATTTAGGGGCTGTTTGGCAACTTCTGAATGGGTAAGTGCGGAACCAGTAAGAGGTCTGAACCATTAAGTGCTGAACCAGTAAGAGGTCTGAACCATTAAGAGCTAGTATATTGCTTAACTATTCAGAGGCAAATGTCTGATCAATTCAGATAAGAGGTCTTAATCATTCAGACTCTGTATAATACTTAACCATTCAGAGGCAAATCTCTTAACCATTCAGACATCTGAACCATTAAGAGGCTGAAACAAACAGCCCCTTAAAGTACTTCATGTATAAATTTAATTATATCGTGTAGTTTTATTAATTAGTGTAGTTAATGAGTTTTAGATTAAATGCTATTTTGCATTTAATGCTTCTTTTTTATACACAATGACCATGTACGATTTCAAAGTGGAACTGTTCTTGGGCTGTAGATAGGGATGGCAATTTAGCCCGAACCCGAGCTTAACCGACCTGCCCGACCATTAAAATATCCGAACCCGAACCGAGAATAAAATAATCCGAACCCGACCCAAAATATTTTACCCGAACCCGACATCGGGTCGGGTCGGGCGTGGATTTATAATGTTACCTGACCCGACCTGAACCCGGCCCGACTCAAACCCGAATATTTTATAACATAAAAGCCTATATATGGATATAATGAGAACTCCATATAATCTCGTAACAAAGTGCTACTATATCAAGTATGCCTTTTATAATCAATTTTATAATTCATTAATAAAAAAATGAGACGCAAAAAAAGAGACACAAAAAAATTAGATTTAATCTTTTTAAAATTATTGGGATACGTCGAATTGATTATTATTTAAAAGTCGGGTTCGGGTCGGGTTCGGGTTTCGGGTTGGAATGTCGGGTTCGGGTCGGGTCGGGTTTTTGGCTTAAAAAAGTCGGGTTTCGGGTCGGGTTCGAGTTCCGGTTTTAAAAGTCGGGTCGGGTTCGGGTATAGTACTATCCGACCCGAACCCGACCCGTTGCCATCCCTAGCTGTAGACTCGTAGTCTTCTATATCCATGATTTAAACATTATTTTGCATATACTCAATTATTCTTTATTCAAATTCCATACATATTTATTTTAATAATTTTGACAAAATAATATTGATATATAAATTACATATGATTTGGAGAATATTCTTGGCATGCAACGCACGAGTACAAAACTATAAATATCAAAGTCATTTTATGAGAGGGTGTCATTTGGGTTAAAAAATATTAGTTCTAAATGATAATGAAACCTTGCAACCACAACAAAAATGTTATATTCTTGAATGCTTTCAAAAACATATGAATTTTAAAAAGACTTGAGGTGTTTGCTTTTGAATTTCATATGAACATTTTCATTATCAAATATTAAATGATAAATTATTTATTTTATTTTGATTTTAATGTCTATGAAGAACGCATTACATACATTTTCATAAACTCATTTAAAAATATTAAATTGAAGATAATTCACAGAATTGATAAAAATTTTGTTTGACCCCGTGCGTGGCCCGAGTTAGAATACTAGTTATTGTTGTTGTTGTTGTTGTTATTTTAAACTCTATACTTTTTACTTGTTTCACTTGATACGATTCTTTCAAAAAATAAATTTAATTTTATCTCGAAAAAATATAAGAAGAAAGAAAATGAAATTTTTGTGCTAATAATCTATGTATAGAAAAATAAAATGATATGAAGCACATTTTTTTTCTTAAAAATGAAAAAGAAAAAACTTTAGAAACAAGTTAAATACAAAACTGAGAAAGTAATTCTTAATTATTAGATGTTAGAAAAATTATTTTTAAAATACATTGACAATGTCAATCTAATTCTACTTTTAAAATACGTTTTAATTTTATTGCTACATGTAATTTGAGTTCCTAAAGTTTTGATCTTTTACTACATCGAGTTGATCAGCTTTGATCATGACTTAAATAAAATTAATATTTGATATTCATATACAGAGTATATTTTAGTGTAACTTAAATAACTATTATATCTATGGTGTTGTATTAATCATAAAAAAAGTTTCATAGTACAAAGCGCACACTGATATTTTATAAGGACGAGATATATCAATAAAAATACTATATCTTCTCTATATTAATTATCTAAATTTAATTACTTTTAAACGTATATATGAATTAAATATTTATTCTAATGTTTTATGAACTAATTATTAAAATATTAAATCAATATTCTTATTTCAAAAAAAAAATAATCATAAAATAAAAAATATTATTATATTATAGTATGAATGATGATTCTAATATAATCCGGGTATGAATTAACTAATTTTATTTCATTAAAAATTATCATAAAATAAAAAATATTAATTATATTATAATATGAATTATCATTACAATTTTCAAAAGTTATTATAAAGTCAAATCAAATTACATTGATTTATATTTTAAATCAATTCATAATTAATTAGATCAGATCCAATCAGATCAGATCAGAATTACAAAAAAAATAGATCAGATAAAAAAAAACAAGTTGAACGAAACGAAGCTTAAACCTCCCACCTCGGTCGACCCGAACCCACCCCCACTTCTTTAATTGTATCATTCAAATTTATTTGACTTTCGAGTAAAAAAAATTAGTAAATGAGAAAATAGTTTTCAGACGGAGAAAGCACAAAATGTGGAGTGTTTTTTTAAAAAGGTAGTTTGAACTTTGAAGTGTCTTTTAACTTACCATAATGGCATTTATAGCATAAACCAATTAGAACGTATGGTGTATCCGAGCAATGGGCTGATCGGGAGCCAAATGAGTCAGTTTCGAAACGCAAGGCAAAGGAGGGACTATTTGGTTTTTTAAAAACAAACCTAAATATCACTTCAGACGCATCAGCGCCGTAAACCCCACAGCCGCTCCGCCGACCGACCGCTCCGCAGCCGCGCTCCAGGTCTCCGACTCCAACTCGCATTTGAGATTAGGTTGATTCTCATTTTTTATATTAAATCTCCATTTGGTATATGGAATTCAAACTATAATTCAATTCCACTGAATTTTCCAATTCCAATTTATTTTTCGCACTACTAGTTCCAAATTCACGTATTTTGGTGCTACCAAACACCAAAGTTGGAATTGAAGTCCATAATTCCAATTCCACGACTTGAATTCTGTATACCAAACGGAGCCTAAGATTTCATTTTTTCTATTAAATTAAGGTAACTAATTTCCCTGCTTGAATAGTTCCACTGTTGTCTTTCGTTGGACCTAAATGGAAACTCTAGGAAAATGAAGAGGTTTAATATGTTATCTCCATGATATAGCCATTGGTTTCTAGCATGCAACAACAATGATTTTTAAGTTGTGTAAAATTAATATGATAGGCCTTTAAATTGGGAGCAAGCTGTTTGTTTCAGCCTCTTAATGGTTCAGATGTCTGAATGGTTCAACACTTAATGGTTCAGACTGTTTGTTTCAGCCTCTTAATGGTTCATTGTCTGAATGGTTCAGACATTTGCCTCTGAATGGTTAAGTATTATACAGAGTCTGAATGGTTAAGACCTCTTATCTGAATTGATCACACATTTGCCTCTGAATAGTTAAGCAATATACTAGCTCTTAAGGTTCAGACCTCTTACTGGTTCAGCACTTAATGGTTCAGACCTCTTACTGGTTCAACGCTTACCTATTCAGAAGTTGTCAAACAGCCCTTAAGTATGCGAAAAAAATGATTTTATGTTTTTGTCAAATGAATTTGGTCAAAGTTTATCATGGACTTAGGGTCACATATATGTTTCATAGACACACAAACAAAAATTCCTTTTGTAGCTTCTATCTGGGGATTTGAGTCGTATACCATATAACACAAAACTATGTGCTACCTGAAACAAGAATCCTATGTTTTCTCTCCATGTATTCTTCAACTTTTTTGTACTTGAGGATTTCTTAAGCATATGATGTTTTGACAACAATAATGTCTTATCCCACTAAAAGGGGTTGGCTACATGGATCAAATGAAGTCACTGTGCAGTTGCGCCCTATCATGTATCATATTCACAATGAGAGTGTTCACGTATTAATCACCTTTGACCACTTCGTGCCAAGTTTTCTTTAGTCTACCCCTTCCTATGACCATATGTCTATTTTCCCATTTGATCCGCCCTTTTTAGTGAAAATTATCTACTCGTCTTCTTTCCACTTGTCCAAACCACCTTGGACGAGCTTCCACCATCTTTAAAATAATAGGAATTATTCAAACTTTCTCTCTGATATCTTTATTCCTTATTCTATCCATACGCGTATGACCCCAACGTTATAAATCTTTTTAGTGTTTTTGCTTTAGTTTTTTACACTCCTTATGTGAGGTAAGTTTGCATATCCCAATATAAGTTATAGCGTTGTGGGAGGCACTTTGCATTTTCGAGTGATTGAAGCAAGTTTCTTTGTTTTTAATATTCTTTTGTTATTCGAATGCCATTTATTTGTAGTATATTGTTGTTTTGTATTGCATTCAGGTTACATTGGTGAGTTCTGTGAGTGTAGTCTGCCTTGATATAACACAATCAATTTGGAGGCACAGTATGTGCTTGAAAAAATGCTTGCAATATTAATACTGCACGTGTTGTGTTATTTTTCTATGTATTCCTAAATATTTTTTTCTCGATTAGGGGCAATGTCTATGTACACACCCTCACTAGACCCTATATTTGTGGGATTTTGCTGGGTTATTGTACTCAATATTTTTTCTTCATACGTCTTGAACTGAAGCTATTATGTTCACACACATTAATACCTTTATTCAGTCTAGGTTCAAAAGGAACCTGCTCACATAAGTCCATCCCTCTATTTGTTTGACAAATGCAGCAAATAAATCCCTTCAACCTTTTTAGCAACAACAACAACAACAATAACCCAGTTAAATCCCACAAAAGTAGGGTCTGGGGAGGGTGTGTGTACGCAGACCTTGCCCCTACTCGAAAGTAGAGAGGCTGTTTCCAAAGAGACCCCCGGCTCAACGTCGAAAGTTGCATTGCTTAACTAACTGCTACTTCATTAATTAAAGAAGCACAGACAGTTTAGAAATCCATTTTGATTTATTCCATCACATCCCAAAGCCAAAAATGGTGAAATTTTGGCTCCATCCGAGATGATGGAAATAACCTTTTTAGCAAGCGTTTTACAATTATATGCCAATGCCACAATTGTTACAAACACCAACTCCAAACATATACTCACACATCTAAAAAAGAATTACACTCTTCACTTTTCAAAAGTCACGAAAGCGTTTGTTTATTTTTGATAAGATAAATCATTCTTGTTATCTCTTGTTTTTTTGAACTTTTGACATAGTTTTTAAATATGTAAATTTTATTTTTAATTTCTATACCAATCTTCAAATAAAATGGATTTAAAAACTTAAAAATTTGCTTCGTTTGGGAAGTATTAATTAATCCAGAAGGAATAAGATTATAAGGATTATAGTGCAATAAACATAATCATGCTATGTGGATATTTTATTGTTACAAAAAGACAACAAATTCAAAACTTGTTTTCATATGTTTTCTTAGCATGTTCTATATATGCCAATTCACATTACACCTAGTTACTTTTTAAGAGACTAAAACCCAAAAGATACCAAGTTGAGTGCAACAAATATTTTGAAAACTTTGTCAAAGATTCTATGAATTCTTGCGTACATCCACTTTAATCACTACCAATTGTTCAAACAAACAGATCCTGCAGTAATTTTACCACCTACAAAAACACACATTTACAGATTTACTATTTATTCCACTGTTAGAATGTGTGCTCAACTCTGGAGGGAGGTGAATAGATTTGTGAAGAATGTTGTAAAATTTTCAGAGAACAAAAACTGCAGGAATAAATAATATGCGGAAAGTAGAGAAACGAAGCACGGGCATGGAATTTTATTCTGTTTCACCTTAGTTTGTGACTAATCTCGTTTCTGAGTGACTCACTTGAGATTCTACTAATTGCCTAGCATATGGGTGCTTGAAAAACCGTTTACAACCGAGATTTGAGTCCCACAAGTCTCAAGCCCTTAAGGTGTCCCACCCTAAGACACACCACCATGATTATGAGTTCTTGGCAACCATTACACTACTAAGGAATCCTCACCTAAGATTTCTAACTCTACAATGGATACCACATCTTCATCAACAGCACAAGAAGATATAATCTTCTTAAACTCTCTCTGGGGCGAACTCTCAACAAGAGTGAATGAAGAGGTACATAGCATGCCCTATAAATAACACTTAGTACCTCTGATATTACGGCGTCGCCTAGGCGCCGACTAGGCGTCCAGGCGATAGAAGAGAGTCGCCATGGTTGTTCGCCTCACCATATCAGTCCTGGCATTGCCTTAGCATCGTTTAAGCGTCTAGGCACTTGAAGATGACGCCTAAGCCGTTTGACCTCTGGTCAATTGTTTAAGTCGTCAAATTTTTTTTACGATTAAAAGAGGGACTATCCGTAGTCGCTAAGTATTAATTAGACATTAAGACGAGGTTCGGTCCCATTTAAAAGAGGCACTGCCATTCTGCCACTAACCCTAAAGTCAGTCGAGTGAGGAAGACTAGACGTGAACAAGGAAGAGACTTTAACCCTTTGATATTTGAGGATTTCCAGTGGAATAATGAATGGGTAACCAATGATGTTGTTCATCGTGGATGTGATCTTTTGTGGACACAAATTGATGAAGCTTTGGGTGCTTCTACCAATCTTGAAGGACGTAATATTACTAAGAGAGCACGTGCTAATGATGTTACAACTTCAGCAACTCCACATGTTGCAACATATCAGCGCCAAAGAAAGTCTACTCTATGTTCAAGGTGGAACAAGAATTACAAGATGAAGAAGTAGATAACTTTCCACATGATGATGATGTTGAGGATGACTTTGGACAGCAGCCACCAACTCCACCTCGTAACATGGCTGATAATTAGGGAAGTGAGAGCCTTTACGATGATAGTTTTATTGACTCTTGAATCTTGATAGTTGATATCTGATTTTTACAATGTGTTTTATTTTGTTTAAATAACTCTAGATATTTGAGTTTTGACACTATGTGCGTGTTTTATTTTGTAAACTATTAAACAATGACTCTGAACTTTTTAATTTATAAATTATACGTAGTATTATGTATTATTATTTGTAGGATTGTGGTGTTTTAAATTCTAAGTGGTCGCCAAATTGTCGCCTAGGCATCAGCCTAGTCGACTAGGCACCCTGGCAACCCACTAGCGCCTCGCCTCGCCTTGGCATCGTGATAACTATGCTTAGTACTTTGATATGGCTCAACAAAAGCAAGCATGAGAAAATGTAGATCAAGAGCTATAAATGGGGGTAAAAGGTTATTAAGAAAAACAAAGTGAAAAGACCCCTATTTATAGCTAAAAGTGTTTGAGCCGTTGGGGAATACTTTAGGAAAGAATCAATCAAAACTCTATAAGCTGGGTGTAGATTTTGCATATTAAAATCAATATCACCATTAGACAATTGATTTTCTATTCAAAGTTATGCCCGTTATGCTTCAACCTAAACAATGACAATCGGTTATTTCCAAGTGGCAATCAATTGTCTCTTTGAATTTTATCCGTTGTAGCCTTATGGTCTTTCTGGCAATAAATTGTCATTTCGTTCTACCAAAAAACTTTCTAAGCACCAGAGGTGACAACCGGTGGTCTCTGTGACAATTAATTTTCAATCCCAACTGTCAAAAATCAGTGACAATCAATTGTTATACCAAGTCAATAAATTGTTATACCAAATCCAGCAAATGTGAAAAACAGTTCTATAAAATAACTCCCACATCCAAAAAATAAAACAAACAATTCTGGAGAGGTGTTTCGGCTTGGAACAAATTTAAATTAGTCCAAACATAAGTTTGAACATAGAATAAATAAATCCATTTGATGAAAAGAAGTGTTGAGCCAAAAGAGAGTTAAACATGTTATTCTTACAAAAGAACTTTACGTAAATACTCCCTTCGTCCCAATTACTTTTTTCACTTTGCTTCTGGCACAAAGACCAATGGGGGGGATAAAAAGACAGAATTGCCCTTGGATAACTAAGTTGGGAGTATTAAGTTTGAAAAGGTACGGGTAAAATAGTGATGTTAGTATACATTTCTTTACCATATACAGATCATGGACAAACTGTAAGCACTGAAGCACATCATATCGAAGGCATTTTTTTTCCATCAAAGAAAGTTACTGTGTGAATGCCAAGTTTTGTTCTCCATTCTAGGTTAGTTAGCAGTGCAGTAAGAGAGGCATAAGCTTCCTAATCTCTTCCTCATTGTCAACCTTCCACTTTCTGCATTAAGTTTTTATTCATCAAGGACAAAAAAGTTTTCATAGTCATTCCAAACAACGTTATTCAATTCAGTTGTACTGTTTATTAATTATTGTGCATTCCAAACTTAAGAATACCCTCAAAATTCAATGTCAGCCAGTCAAAACCGTGCAAAGGAACAGGGTCCCCCAAATTGGAGGTGCCCATTGTAAAATAAATTGTAACAATAAGCCCATTATGCCTGCTCCCTTAAGTAATTCGGAGTAGTAAAAACCAAAAGAGTGATGCAAATGTTAAAAATGAAAGAGAGGAAGAAACTGCGGGAGACCAAAAAAGAAGAAATTGAAACAATGATTCTCTTCACAGTAATTCTCTAATCTTCTCTTTTATCTTGATTTTCATAATGTAATTTTTTATCATTCTTGATTACTGTTTTGTTTCATTTTGCAAGAGAAAAATTAGAGATTTATAGTTATTGGTTTATTCACTTTATTGTCTTATTAAAATGCTTTAATGGTGAACTTTTAAAATTAAGGTTAGGATTTGAGTGCATGTAAAGATAGAAATTACGGAGTAGCATTTATTTTTCATTTTTCATTAGGTTTAATTTAAGATTTTTAGGCATAATATCCAAAAATTAAGTCTCTATAATAATTTAAAGTAATAATGGTGATTTTGACTTGAAGTGTGCAAGACAAATGTCTAAATAAACTTTGCATTGTATACTTTTAAGAATATTCCTTTTTATGATAGAACAGTTCAACATTCTCTGTACGTTTTTAATCACTGCAGAGTAATTGGTATTTTAGTTATTTTTTTGAAGTATTTGGATTGTCCAAAGTTATCTTATGCACAGGGCCCTATATCTATTACGTCTGGCCCTGTTCAATTTAACTCAATTCTCTAATCTGTTTGTTTCAAAACAGTCCATATAGAAAACCTGGTATAAAAAAGATCAACAGACAACAATTGATCATATACTTGATGAATCCTCACAACTATCGCCATCAAACACAAATCATAGAAGACGTTGCTGCCTTTTCCCGCTGATTGCCAACCGTCATCATCAAACAACATCAACAAAATCAGCTGCGTTCCAACTGAGGTTTGGTTGGCGTTCGCTGCAGTGCTGCTAGTCTCTCGCCGCAGCACCGTCAGTATTAGCAGACTACTTACATAGCTGTCTGATTTACGTCGACTGGGGGAAGTCACATCAGCAACACTTTAGAAGTTTCCTCTACACTCAAGCTATTTTACAAGTAAGTTGTCTCTCTACTCTGTTTTTTTTTTAAAAAAATGTCTCAGATAATAATCTGATTGTAATACCCCCTGTGTACCGTTTACTCCGAGCTCCAATTTCTTCTCTTAAGGGAGACGTATGTTGCAGCTGCACATATTCTTCGAAGGAGACGCCCCTGTCTCCATTCAACTTAGAGTGAGACAGCACATGTGAATCAATTAATCAAATCAGCCTGCCACTGAAATTCTTACGGAGTACTATAATTTATAGTGTGAAATTTTTAGCTTTTGTTTTACAAAATTTCACCATTTTGGCTTTGGGGTGTGATGGAATAAATCAAAATGGATCTCTAAACTGTCTGGGCTTCTTTAATTAATGAAGTAGCAGTTAGTCAAGCAATGCAACTTTCGACATTGAGCTAGGGGTCTCTTCGGAAACAGCCTCTCTACTTTCGAGTAGGGGTAAGGTCTGCGTACACACACCCTCCCCAGACACTACTCTTGTGGGATTTAACTGGGTTGTTGTTGTTGTTGTTGTTTGTTGTTTTACAAAATTTGTGAATTCTTACATATACATACACTGGTACACCCTTGTTCATATACACACATGATTCCATACACATATCATACCTTGTACAAGGATGAGTAGAATATTTGTAATTTTGTATCCGACTTTGTTATTCACATTTTCCAGCTTGTGCGGATGGGAAATCTTAATTTGTTCATTCCATTATCCCTTAGTACCATATTATGCATAATATTCGAATGACTATTTGTTTTTGTTTAGGAAAGTTTCGATGGATTATTTAGATGACTTATTTGATGAGGATGCACCAAAACCTGGTCAGTGTTTAAAGCTTGCTTCTTTTCACTTTCATTTCTTTAACAATTTGGGTTGAATACAAAGTTTTCATTATTTTTTGCTTGTGATTGTATGAATGTAGCAAGAAGGATTGGCAGGTTTAAACCTAAGGCAAGGGCTCCTCCAGTAAAAACAGGGCCTGTTTCTGCACATTCTCCACCCTCATCACAGACCATCCAGTTAGATAACGATGCTGGTAAATATGGAAGCACTGTTGTTCCAAAGGATGGACAGCCATCCGCTAAAGGTACAACAACAACCCAATAAAATTCCACAATTGAGGAGGGTGTGTGTGTGCCAGTTACCCCTACCCTAAAAGATAGAGAGGCTTATAAATTTACTATTGAATTTCCTTTCAGTATACTGTGTGTTTGTGTTTTCCAGAAAATAATATTTCAGTCTTTTTTAGAAACAACCCACACTTTTGATTCAGTTCAAACCAATTATACCGCCTGGAAGTAACATGATTCCCTGCTTTTGTTAACATCCTGTTTTGCCATTTTCTATTGTTTGATATGTGCTTACAGATGTTGCAAAGTGTGTTGGACCTGTGGAGTCCTCTACTAAACATATGGAGGGAACAATGATCTTGCCAGAAAAAAATATATGCTCAGAGAAATCAGTAGGAGAGGTAAATGTTTTCTTCCCTTGATCATTGCACTGGTTTGGTGGCTTGCTGCATTATGTTTTTCCTTTATTAATATTTTCCAGATTGCTAATATACTACCCGGGTTGGAATCCGTTGGTTTTTCTACAGACAGTGCAAACGCTCCAGGTGAGGAATCATTTAGTTGAATCACTCACATGATATTTCTTTCTTTTACTTTTGATTAAAGATGGTTGATAGTTCTTATTGGAGCAAATTATATTTATCTCTTTAGTGCGTATATCAATGTTTAGCTACTGGGTGAATGCTTAGCTACTGGGTGAATGCTTATCTTCCCCTTATAATAGAATCTATATTGGGACCTTTTATGTAACAAAGCTAAAGTCTAGGGCAATATGCTTTTACAAACATAATGCAAATATGGGCTTAAGTGGCATGATATTCTTTCACTTTTGCCGTATTACATTGGCTACTACTAAGGCTGGATGTAGGATTCCTTTTTCCCTTTTGCTGACAAGATTTTGTGCTTCAAATAATTGTATAGATAGTTCCATTCCATCTCCAGAGGCACCAAATATCCCTGATGTTGATAACTCTGAACATTCTGCTGCTCAAGATACATTTATTTCTTGTGGAGAACCTGCTGTTGCTACTTGTGAGGGACTCTCTCAGATTGATTGTATAGATCGAGGAACAGAGGTGAATATCCAAATTCCCTGGATATAAATACTGTTAGCATTTTAGTACTCTCTTTAGTCTTTCACTTTAATAATTCGAGCTTTGATTTGATGATAGCAGAAAATGGAGACATATCCTTGCCTGGAAACTTCAGATGAGCTCGAACAAACTGCTCTCTCTGGTAGGATTTTTTCACAAAAATCCTTTTTGAGCTTTTTCTTTTATTGGCTCACTTAGGGTTCATTTGGAATTTTCAAAATGTCCGGAAAATAAAATAACAAGGGAAACTTGGAAGGAGAGAAAATTTCAGGGAATTAAAAAATTTGCTCAAATTTATTACGGAGTATATCAATTTAAGATATTTGTTCAAAGTTACTTTATTAAAAGCTCTAGTATTTTCATAGGTGAAACCAAGCATAAAACAATGATGTTCATTGTCCTTTTATTTTCTTTTCCTACCATTTTCCAGTTCAAAGTATAGTCATCAAAATTTACAAAAACTTAAATCTAGTGATTTTATGTAGGCAAGCGTACTGGAAAATTTCGACCAAAGCCCAAGTTACAAGTGGTCGCTAAGGATTGCAATACTGGTGTTCCTAATTCCAATGCAAAAGATTCAGAGTCTACTGACTACGTGGGCAAAGAAAGACTTCCTACATGTGACAACAATGATGTTAACGATGTCTCACCTTCAGGATTTGGTGATGCTGCTCCCATAGAATCTGCAGCTGAAATTCCAGCAAACGAGGAGATGCCAAATGCTGATTTTCCATCTGGCAGCCCCAGTATAAATGAGGATGAGCCCATTGATGAGGAATTTCAGGTGGAAGATGAATCCCGAAAGAAAAGAGCACAAAAACAATCAAAGAAACAGGCGGAAAGTGCTGATTTTCCATCTGGCAGCCCCAAAATAAATGAGGATGAGCACGTTGATGAGGAAATTCAGGTGGAAAATGAATCCCGAAAGAAGAAAGCAGGAAAACAATCAAAGAAACAGGTTGAAAATGCTGATTTTCCATCTGGCAGCCCCAGAATAAATGAGGATGATCACGTTGATGAGGAATTTCAGGTGGAAAATGAATCCCGAAAGAAAAGAGCACGAAAACGATCAAAGAAACAGGTGGAAAATGCTGATTTTCCATCTGGCAGCCCCAGTATAAATGAGGATGAGCCCATTGATGAGGAATTTCAGGTGGAAAATGAATCCCAAAAGAAAAGAGCACGGAAACAATCAAAGAAAAAGACTGACAATGAAGAAGATGAAGAAAATCCTAGTGTAAAGCGTAAAAAAAGTAAAGATAAAACAGAAAAGGTTACCAAAGAGAAACCCAAAAAGTTTGCTCACACAACTCGGCAAAAGAGGAGAACTCGTAAGACTACAATACTTTTTCTTTTCTGAATAAGATGTGATTTGTATATTATTGACCAAGATTATTTAGTTTTTCAGTGGACAAGGTTTTATTGCTTTGAGGTCTCCTACTTTAACTAAAAGCTTCTCACGGATAATTCCTAAATTAAAACGAACGTCTCGTGTTCCTCGCAGACCGCCATTAAAAAAAAAAAAAAACGAATAACGGAACAGATCCAGAAAGAGTTAGTAAACCAATAACAAAATTATTGGAAAGGTGTGGAGGGATCACCGGGTAACTTAATATTTGATTATGTGGCTGTCAGTTGTCTCAGTTCATTTATGGAACTTAAAATGGATAAAGTTTGAGTTTGCCAAAGAATTTATTTTTGCAGAAAAATACCCCGGCAACAACATCACAGATCCCACAAGTGAACCCGAGGTATGACAATTTGCAACTTTTGGGAATATTGCATGTTTCTTGGTTTTATTTCCTTCCAATGTTTTCATTCAACCCGATATCATTGTTTGACTAAACCTACTGAGATTTCTGACTTGATAAATCCCATTCATGAGTTAAAAGGAGTTCCCAGTTTCTAACTTTCCATCAGGGCATCAGTCCTATTGCCTGAGTATAAATTTACATAGTTTTATGTGGTTTTCCCCTCTGAACAAAAACATCCTGTTCTGCTGCAATTTCTATATCCTACAATTCTAAATACTCTGTACTATGAGTAATATTAATGACATGATTCTGAATATATAGTTTGATCTCAGCAGTGTTAGTATTAATTTTTCTGAAATGAACATTGAAGGGTTGAAGAGGAGGATACATTTTCGTTTCGTGAAGATGATGATGCAGAAGCTTTTGGGGAGCAAGCAACTGAGGTGGAGGATAGTACCATCTACTTTAATAATCAAACCTACATGGAAAGAACACCCAGAGTCCGATGGTCAAAAGAGGACACAGAACTGTTCTATGAGGTAGTATATATCCCTCTACTTCTCATCTGGTTTTCTTAACCGGAGATAACAGTCATTTTTGTTACTCCATCCATCCTACAAAAATCATCAACTATCATTTTCCCTTCAAATTCAGAAATAATAGTTAAGTTTACTCTCTGTACAGTTAGCAATTTCTTATGTGGGACGAGTATTTAATTTTGTGGTTGCCATTACTTAGGAGTAAACCTGGAAACGAAAAATTAGACGCATCATGCATACCCAAAAAACAAACTGGACTACTTTTTTGTGCAGACCACAGTGGTGGAATATTTTTGTGAGACAAGAAGGGTATATAACTGTTATCATGTTAACAGAAGATCGCTAAGCAGGGATGCTTTGTGCACTGAGCTGCCTTTTTTAACCGGGAGAATTTAGAATAATAAGGCCCTATATAGTTATATGTTGTGCATTACCAATTACTGGAGAATGATACTTAGTCAGACGAACTTTGTAGTGGAGTGGAATAAGATGATTGCATATGTGTCATATGATATTCAAATGTAAAACTTGTGAGGGGATTCTGTCTGCTTCCTAGTTTCTACATTAGAATTTATAAATATGTTTCTTTACTTTTGTAATAGTTGCATCTGACTTTGGCATTTTGTCAATCAAGTTAGATCCACCCAGGCTATGACTTCATGAGATTTAACGGGCTGTAAACAATTGCTTCGCTACAAATCTGTTTCATCTGCAGGCCATTCGGCAAGTTGGCTCAAATTTTTCCATGATACAACAACTCTTTCCTGGGCGGACACGCACACAGATAAGGCTGAAGTATAAAAAAGAAGAGCAGCGGCATCCATCCAGAATTCTTGATGCTCTAACTACTCGTGCCAATGGTAAGCTTTTTATAATGGTCTCTAGTCCTCATTATAGTGATTATAATATATTTTTCAAGGTCAAGCTTTCTCTCACTTTTGGCATCCACTTCTAAGTTTCTGGTTAGTAAAAGGAAAATCAATTTGAAAACAGATGTTACTTGACATTTTGGGCACTAGTTCTATGATACTTTTTGCAATCATGAACATTTCTTGTCACTGATCTGATTTACCCTTGTTGGTGGGAGAAAGAAAATACAAGCCGTTATGGTGTCGAGGCGAGGGGGGTGGGGTGGGGTTGGGGGTACCGTTAGCGTAATCTTGCTATTAGTGAATGATTAATTAATGCAAGCTCTAACTGACAACAACCATTGTCATGTAGATCACTCCCACTTAGAGCAAATAATTAAGCGCTTGAAGGAAATGGCAGCCGAGGAAAACCAAAATGGCGATGACTTTGATGCTTCGGTTGACTTGGCAGGCGAAGAAGAGGTTGGAATTTTACTCCTCACCAATTTAGATCCACAAATTTTATCATCTCTTGCATGAGAAACTTCTCTTCTTTTTTTTTTTGGGGGGGGGGGGGGGGGATCCCCAAGCTTTTAACATGCAATTGGTCAAAGATTTCACTTGTTTGCTTCATTGGTCAGAGAGAAAAGGAAGAACCAGAGGTGGAGAATAATGAGGAAAACGAAGTCCCAGATACGGTGCCAGACGTTGTTACAGACGATCAAACTTGTGTGGATGATGAGGAAGAGGTCGAGGAAGAAGATACAGAGGAAGAATACACATGTATTTTTTGATTAATCCAAATTTCCACAACCCTTGGCCGCTGCTTTTTTGCAGTTCAGAAATGAATTCAAGCCAAACTCCAAAAGGCGGCCATTTTTCTGTGTATTTTTGAACACTTGTGAATTTGTGATTGTCATTTTCTTATCTGATCCAAGAAGCCCCCCCCCCCACCCCCTCACTCTTTTCATCGATTCACTACTTAGGACTTGTCATCACCGGATATGATTGATTCCAATATGATTGGAACAAATTTTGATTTAGTCTATTTTGATTTGAAAGCAATTGTATTTAAAGCTGTTTTTTAGTTGGTCTGATGTGATATGAACTGAACTAATTTCAATAAGTAATACTCCCTCCGTTTTATAAAACGATTCTTATTTTGAATTTTGGAGAAATAGCATCATAATAATAATAATAATAATAATAATAATAATAATAATATACCAAAAGATATTGTGAATCCTTTAAATCAGTACTATATTTGTCTGCACCTATATTTTTCATAGAAGGATGTGTTATATTTTGATATGCTAATAGAAAAATAAAATATACAAATAAAAAGTTGGAAAAAACTGATGTACAGTCACTCCGCTCAATAGGATGCATTATGTGATAAAGATTGTATTTGAAATTTAGGACCTTTTTATGATGTGGAAAATATAAAACTATGAAAGACTTCCTAAACCCCACCACATTAAGAGTGGAAGAAATACTGATTTTAACAAGAATACCCTCTCTAAGCCAGAAAAAAGAATTTTATTTTATCTTCACAAAAATTAAAAAATGTAAACATGATAAGAATATTAAAAAGTTGTTAAATTCTTTTAAATGGGAGGGAAAGATAAAGAGTGTACTTTTAAAAAAAATTCTAAATAAAATATTATGTTAGAATAATTTCTAATACGAGTACTAAATGGGCCTGTTTGGGAATAGCGTTAACGTTTTGAAAAAGCTATCTACGGGCAGCGTTCAGCGTTTGCGTACACCGTTAAAATTTATCCAAAACGATAACGCTAATTTCTACGGAGTAACGCTATTCCCAAACAGACCCAATGTCTATATCTTAACATGATTAGCAAGAGATATATAAAACTTATCACTTTGAAACATATTGTCCACATTTTCAAATATTTGGTACTGATAACAGAGTATAATTGGTCAAATGCACCAACAAAATAAAAAATAGAGAAATAACAAATGCCATCATACTTAGAGATACAATTCTGCTTCAGAAAAATGGTCCAACAAAATCAAGCAGAATAAGCAACACATCAAAAAGGGCTTCTGACATTTAGTTAGTTTCTTGAGGCCTGAGAGACCCAACCAAATACACAGTAAGTTCATGGTGTTGGCTTTTACAAAAGGGAAAAAAAGAAGAGGAAAAAAAAAAGCCAAAGGCTAGCTTTTTGTTGAGCTTTATTTAGACTTTTTCCCTTTACCGTTTGGGATGCTTTTGAATGGGAGGAACGACACTCCATCCATGAAAGGCTGCAAAACTTCAGGGACTGCCACGCCTTCTTCTGTCTGGTAATTCTCAAGGATGCAGCACAGTGTCCTCTCGGTTGCCGTGAGAGTTGAGTTCAATAGATGGACATATTGTTTGGCCGACTGCTCGTTTCCCTGTTATATGTAAAAGCCATTGAGATGAGGACGAATGTTAAAAAATGTAATGTACCCACACAAACTATCACTCCCATACCTACCCAATATAATACTCATTCCGGTCTTTGGGTGGGGGGGGGCCCCCCCATTGGGAGAATCTAAGACTATTTTATCCCAAAACAACAATAAACCGGTAATGTCCCAAAAGTGGAGTTTTGGAAGGGTGGGCATATGCAACCCTTACCCCCAACCAAAAAGGGGAGAGGTTTTTAGAAGGCTCTCAGGGGGGGACAAGAATAGTATTGGAAAAGGGTTAGAACAATCAAATATTGAAGGATGAAGGGTAAAACAACTATAGAATAAAAGGCAAATAAAAGAAGATTAACAAACATCTGGAAAGGCACTATTCAAATAACTAGTGTCCATGCTCATTTTTAAAATAAAAAACATCATTTACAAGGCCTAAGAAATTGAGATAAAATTAGAGTATACCTTAATGGGTGTTTTTTAAACTCAATAAAATTGACTGCTTACGCTGGTTTGCGTGATTTGGTCCATTGTGTTTGCATAATAAAGACAGGGGAACTATTTAAGAGAAGAGTCTGTGTGAGAAAAACATTTCGAAGAAAAACAGAGGGAGAACAGATCCTACCTTTTTCTGCCCATAACGAATTTCCAATTTTCTTGACTGGTAATCTGTGCAGTTCGAGCATGAAACAAGTTCTCTGTAGGTGCCGGAAGCAGGAAACCATCCCTCTAAGTCATACTTTTTAGCAGCAGCGTCATTCAATGCACCAGAAACAATTGAAACAACCTGATACGGAATCTTAAGCTGCAACCAATAAAAATCCCAAGTAAATCAAATTTTGAATCATCATAGTTGACATTTAAATTAAAAATTTCAAGTGAAATAGGATAACATCAAGTACATATTTCCCAACGATCCCTGTCCCTAAGAATAAGAACCCTGAGAATAAAAATAGAAACAGACAACAACATGCAGTATTTCAGCGAATGTTCTTACCTGCTGGTAGAACTCCTCTGAGTTCTTGAGCATCTCCTCGTGCATGTCCCAGGAGTCATTTCCATTCGGGCTAGTAATACAAAACTGCTCGACTTTTTCAAATTGATGAACACGAAAAATCCCAAGTGTGTCACGACCGTGAGAACCAGCTTCTTTACGGAAGCATGAGGAATATCCGGCATACCTAGCAAAGAGTACCAAAAGAAGGGGAAAAAAGCTATTTGAATAGAGCAATGAAATATAATTTTAATGCTATCTGATTTCTTTACAACCAGCATTTCTACCAGGCCCATGAAAAAGGTCGGTACCTTAATGGAAGATCTGCGGGATGAATCCAATCATCCATATGATATGCACAAAGAGGCTGTTCAGCTGTTGCAATAAGATATTTATCCTCTCCCTCGCCAGTTACCTATGAAAAGACAGTTAACTCAAATAATCAGATATTTCATCACATAAAAAATATTGAAGAGAAAACTACTGCATATTTGATAAATGGAAGTAAGAAGCAATCATATATTGAAACATAAAAAAACTTACTTTGTAAAGTTCTTCATCAAATTGTGCTAGTTGAGCACATTTTCCCATGATATCTTGCCTCATAAAGAATGGAGTCTGTAATCGAGAAAATTTCCTCTTTCTCAAAAAACTAAGGGCAAAATTAATTAATGCTTGGTTTAGATCAACGCCAGCATCTTTTAGATAGTAGCCTCTGCCCCCAGCAACATTTGCTCCTAAATAAGTTTAATTAAATTAAATTGGAAGAGAATGATAAAAGAAATACCCCTAAGTTACAAGGATGATAATGAGCATTATTGGATGGAAGATTAAATTTAAATAGGCACCGCTAGCACTAAAAACACAATGAAAATAAGCAGATACCCTCAAATGCATATTTCATTACCCGACACAGTTCAGCAACAATTAATGTCAAGTTCATAGAAAAACATGTAAACCCCAATGGTACCAATAAGTAAATACCCTTGTCCAGATCAGCAATTCCAAGAAGCTTGACAAGCTCAACATGATTTTTGAGGCCCTGTTCAGCTCTCTTATCACCCCAACAACGAACTATAGCATTATTGTCCTGAAAATTACTCTAACATATAACCAGGGAAACTATTTTTAATAATGAAAATAGCAATAAAATACATGAATACTAACAAACCTCATTATCGCTCACTGGAACTGAGTCATGCACAAGATTTCCAATGCTTTCCAACTGTTTATACAATGCATCTCGGGCCTCCTGCACCTCTTCTTCTTTTTTTGCAGTCAATCTCTTATTCTCTTCAGTATTCTTAATTAACTCACTTGCATCTTGTTTGGCCTTTACGACACCATGATTTGGTACAAATATAAAGTGGATAAATCAATATGAAGATTCATGTGAATCAGCAAAAAATGTGGAAACAAAGGGTTTTCCTGAAAAAACTCGTGTTTGAATTTTCATAAGCACGCATAGGTAAAAAGAGCCGCCAGTCCACCCACTTGGACAACAGTTGTGGCAGACGTTTAGGTGCATATTCCAAATGCTTTGCTAGTACATTCTATAGCATACAGATAGGAGACTTCTATTCAAGTACTTCCCTATTAGCTAGTTGACTAACATATTCCACTCTTGCAATTTGCATACACAAGATGAATTAGACCATAACAAAAGTTAGAAAATATAAAAAGGTACACAATTACAATTTACGGACTGCAATTATCCCTTCCAATTCAAACAACTAACAACCAAGAAATCATTATATGAAATAGCATAGCAATTTTTTTACATGCCTTTTAGATAAAGAATAAGGTGATTAAAGATTAATCAACAATATAAATATTATAAACATTAACCATCACACACTAACATTTTAACATCATAAACAATAATTTGCTTACAAAACAATAACAGAGTGTGAAGTACACAACTATGCAGAATAATTAGATCTGACTTACGATCTTCAACTTGGCCACTTCTTTGTTGATCTTATTAAACTCTTTGCGCAAGTTATCCAGCTTGAATTGCCCTGCATCATAGATTACCAATAAGTTAAAACATTTTATGGATTGAGCATAAACATTTGGAAGACAGACAGTTTACGTACGCTCACGCCACTCTTTGTCCAGCTGAATAACCTCGTCAACCACATCAACTTTAGCAAAACGGCGCCTCTGAGATTCTCGAATAACTTCGGGGTTATAGCCCTTGTCTTCCCGGAAAAGATTTAAATCCAGCATTTTCTCGCTCTCTTTTGCTTGCACTGCAATTAAGGAGGGTGTATTCAATCTAAATTTTATAAGATTCCGATAGATTGTCTAGAATCTGTAGATTCTGTAAAATCAATGGATTATTTTAAGTTTATGCAGAGTTAGATAGATTTTACTGTATTTTATCAACAGGATTTTATAGGATTCTAATAGATTATTTATAATCCATGGATTATTTAAATAAATATTAGAACTATTATAAAAATTCATACATTATTCTAACATTGATTATACTTTTGAAATTGATCAAAAACTTAAAAAATTAAAAAATAGTATTAAAAAAATTATTTTTTACACATTATTATAATTATAAATTTATTGGCATAAGTGAAATAGAAGTTGATTGAAAGGGAAATAAAAACACACGAGGAAAAAGCACAATTTGTTTTAAATAAAAACTTTTCATTAAGAAAACAAATACGGAGTATATATACCACTTAGCCGAAATCCTATTAACAACGCCTGTTTGTTTCATTGAACAAAAATGTATTTTTTTATCAAACAGCCCAATAAGTTGTATGTGAATTTTATCCCTTTATACAGCTACCCAAAGCAATTGCACATCAGTGAAGTGTCTATTGCCATCACAAAAGATGTTAGCGAATCTCATTGCATTTGAACTAAACATGGATGACTTTATAGTGGCACCTGTAATTTGTGTGGATAATACACAATTTTTTTTACAGTTCTAAACAGGTAAAGTTTGCATAAAGGTAAAATTATACGCTAGCATCTGGAAAAGATCATACGGAATGGCTGTGCAAGAGGTATATGCGAAATTGATGCATAGAACAATAAAAGAAGTGCTTGAACAATCCGAATCAAAGATAAGAGGGATGGACTTTCGTTCTCCTCGCCTCTTTGAGAAACTATTTGATTCTTTGAAAGCACAATCATTTACACACAAAAAATTGACAGAGACAAAACCATATTCTTATAAAAAATCACATAATCATAAATAAATTCATTATAGTTTATTGGGAGATAGAGAAGATTTTGCCTTGAAGGCTTGAAGATGATGGAGTGAAGTTGGAGAAGAGAAAACCTGCGTTGACAGAGAACTTGGGTTGACGATGGAATGAAGTTGGAGAAGATCGGCCGAAGCAGGAGGGTGAGCGGAGATCGGCTCTTGTACTCCACAAAATCCCTGGGGGTCTTGATTGAATTTCCAAACAAGTTTTTTATTTATACTTTAACCTAAAAATCCATCACAATCCATTATTTATAACCATCCTCGAAAATCTATCAATTTTTCAATATCATTACATTTATAAAAAGATTTTTTAAAATCTCAATTGAATACATAAGAAAGAGAATATAAAAACCATCTTTCCCCTGAGATTCCTTTGCTAGGGTCCAAAGAGGAAGAAGACGGAAAAGGAATTGCTAGGGTTTTTTTCTTTTTCCTTCCTAGGCTATTATGTGTACTCTGTATTATATTTGGCCAATGGGCTTATTTCTTTAACATCTAATTCTTGGGCTTCTTTCCCAACTTAGACACACATGACCCAAATAAAAGACTACACCCACTCAGATGCGGTGCTAGATACCCTATTTATATAAAATAAATATATTCAGCGTCTCTCTGGCAATCCGTATCCATTTATTTTTGTCGGATATCGAATTCGGATACGGATCTTGACGGATACAGAAAATCAAAACTGTATCTGCATCCGTCGTAAATCGGATATATCCGTATCCGTTTCCAATTTTTAAAATTAAATTTAACAATACTTTAATTTTAAATTAGATTAAAGTCAAACTATTATTAAATCAATTATAATTTTTTATGGGATAATTATTTTCTTTTTTTAATGATTTATGATATTCTACTATAACTTCATATGATAAAAGGATATACACAACACACATATACACATATTTTTATATGTTGCACAGATTTTTATGTGTCTACACATTTATTTTGTGTATAAAAATATTTTATACTTTGAAATATCAATAGAGAAACAAAATATAAACATAAAAAAATTGAAAAACTATATACGTAGTATAACGGATCAGATATTTGGATAAACGGTTATTTAAATGGATGCATATTCAGATCGGATTTTAAACGGATCGGATATACAATTACCAAATCCGTATCCATTTAGTAATCGGATATCCTTATCGGATACGGATAATATCCATTTAAAACGGATGCGGATATTTCCTCTTTAAACGGATATAAATGTGGACAATAATCGGATTTTCGGCTAACCGTTGACAGCCCTATTCGTCTCTTCATTTTTGAAAATAACCGTTTTGGCATTTGAATTATTTCGTCTCGTCCCCGTCTCCGTTGGAGTGCTACATAGAGCATAGCAATAGTTCACGTAAAATGGAGCTCACTTGCTTATATCAACTCTCATCCTAAACGTGATCCATCCATTAATCTACCACCCATCCCAAAAGAAATACACACTCAATGCATTCTATCTCCATGGAGGAGTAGGGTGGAAGAAGTGCTTCTTGGATCAGCACACTTATTTTTTAAAGTAAACATAACGGGTAACAAATTATCAAAATTTGCTTTCAACTCATATTCAATAATTAACACGTTCCTCCAATCTACAATCTGCTCAAATCTGATAATTATCTTAAGTTCGTTTACCAATAAGGTTAATAAATACAAGGTTGTCACATCGATAAGTTAAGACGAGTTAAGTTTGAGTGAACTGCAAACCGACTAGAGGAATAGCCAGCAAGTCAGTTGGTTTGACTAAGCGGTTGTTTCACTGTGCTTATAAATAGTTTTTTACTTATAAGTTAGTTGGTGACATGCTTATGTGTGTTTATAAGTTAACTTATAAGCTAGAAAAAATAAGTAGGTCATAGCTACTTATTTCTAAGCCAGTTTTTTTTATTTTTCCGTTTTTACTAGATTATTTACAAAATTATCTTTCAACATTTATGAATATTTACAAATGACTTATATATCATTTAAGTTAATTTATTTACAAATGACTTATATATCATTTAAGTTAATTTATTTCCACAAAAGAATATTAGATTTATAAGCAGCTTATAAGTTAAAAACTCTTGTCAATAAATTAAAAACGGCTAGCTACTAACACAACATGTCAATAATACATTGTCAAAAAAATTATGCCAACATGAGTCATACAATATGTTTGCATAAGAACATAAAGGAACTAACATTTCCCACATTCTCTGTTGGGGGAATTAACGATAACTTGGATGAATCGAGAGTTGTGTAAACACTTTCAGATTGAATATTTTGGTTGTTCACTCCAAAATTCAATCGGATAAAACTCGAAAGTATCAAGAACGAAAATATGAGAATTGCTATAAAAAATCCGAACCAAATTCGACCATGCCTCGCGGGAATTTATAGACTTGGGGTGAGAAGGAGAAGACACCATTCGCGGCCATTTACCCAAGGCTCGCAACTCTTCGGCGAAAAACTCCCCCTTTGAAAACAACGCTATCCTTAGGAATTTTCTTTTAAAGAAAATTCCAATTGAATTTTTTTAACATAGCGCATCTCGACCCCAGCCAGGGGCTCTGCCCCTTGGACCCCGCAGGGGCTGCCGCCCCTTGAACCCTGATCGGGGGCGCTGCCCCCTTGGAACCCCCGATGTAACATGATTGTTATCGTAACAAACTCAACGAAGCGTGCACTCCGCACCACCAAACTTCGTTGATGATTATTAGGATACCATTGGTCGTAGTTTTTCCAATTACACTAAAATATATAACATTCTCTTGAATCTGTATGAGTTAGGAACCACTTTGATTAAATACTACTCTCTTCCTGAATTGTTGTGATAGTTATTATTTTGGGCTCTTGATTATTTTTGCTTATTTGCATATATTCGTTAGTCATTTAATAAAATAAAATATTATTCTCGCATCTTATTGTGTAAAATTTTCGTTGTAGTTTTTTAAAAATTAATTCGTTTTTTTCTATATATACTAATTTATAAATAAAATATTTTTAAAAAGTTGATGTTTTGTGTGTTTTTTGAAGTGAGATTATAATTTAGGTGCAGTACATGATACTAATTTTGAGATCAAATTTTGTGTGACTATAGGTAGCACCATATTGTCGTAATGATAGTTTTTTGTAGTGCTTATGTTCATATTTATTTCATGAATGTTAATACATTGAATGATTATATGCATTTTGTCTTGTAATAAAAAGAAAATCAAGTAGATCATAAAAGTTCATCAAGAGAACTCTTTTTAGAATTATATTATCCCTTTTCTTGAGTTTACGCATGTCAATGGGCCGAGTTCGGGTCGGTCCATAATGTTCTATACCCGTTCCTTTTTTAAAATAATTGATTCTGACCTGTACTCGTTTACTTGATGGGTCTTGAAGTTTAATCCATAGTGTTCTATACCCGTTTCTTTTTACAAATAAAAATAACACTAATACATTACTACAACATAAACAAGTTTCTTTACTAAATATGTGTAACAAAATTCTTAGTCATAATCAGCGTTCTTATCACATTCATTCATGTCGCAAGAGTGTTCTTTATAACATTATAGCTAATTTCAAACCATTCATTTCATACTACTGCATAAACTAACGTGTAGATTTCTCTAATGTGATGAAATAAATACAAATAAATTTGGAAGCCACCCAACTAGCGAAGAATGGGAGTAGCAAAAAAGGGGGTAGGATTTTGTAATATTTAATATTATCTATTTATTTAGCTGTTAAGGGTTTTAAAGGGTTAGGACTACTCTTCCTGTACCCAACTCTTTGTTTTTAAAAAGTAACGGGTATTGATAGAATTTAGGATGGGTATGGAAAACTGGATTGGGTAATAAGACACTTAGGTTGAATCACATTAAAAGATTGAATCCAATCGATTAGTTAGTTTAACTCAAGAGCTTATATACTGATTATTTTTCTCTTGGACTTCCGATGTGGGATACACTCTAATACTCCCCCTCAAGTGAACAACCGTGCCATTTTGAATCTAATTAACAAGTTGACCACTTGCAAAAAAACTCCCATTCTCTTGACTTTTTTTGAGCGCCAACACCTAAAGGACCACGAGCCGCTGGGTATGGACTTCCAGACGAGCAATCGTGTTAAACGGGTCACAGGTCGTTGGGTACATACTCCATACGGACAACTGGGCTAAATGTTAGACGCCTCGCACACCTCTAGAGGGGGGGTGAATAGAGGTGTTGCCCAAAAGACTAGTTTTTTGTGCGGAAACGTTCTTCACAAAATTCAATAAAAACAATGCACCAAAAACAAAATAAAGTGAAGGATAAGAGCAATGCACACACGATATATATTGGTTCGGCCTAAATGCCTACATCCAGTCCCCGAAGCAATCGTGCCCAGGCCTTCACTAACCCGTCAAACTTAACGGAGTTTGACAATCCGAATACAACTCGAGAACTTGATTTCACAAGCCTCTTATCTTACCACCGAAGTTTTGATTTCACAAAACTCAGGATTTCTTCCACCTAACGTTTGATTTCACAAACCGTTAGGATTTCTACCACTTGGTGTAATCCCAACACCAAGAATACAAATCCCTTACAATAAAGTAAGAAAACAAACCGCAACCGAGTAATTCTCCCAACACGGAGTAGATTGTTGCAAATACAATGAAGTCCTTTAGAATATGGCAATATCTCTCAAAGACTCAAGCAATGAGGAAAAACTCAAGCAAGAGATGATTTAGCAATCAAAACAATTGCCTTGCTTGGATATAAGGAGGGGATTGAGTAGAATCTCTTTGGATATTCAAAGGATATGTTCTTCAAAGTGTTCTAAGTGTTCTTATGAAAATAATCACGAAAGTAGGTAGTTTATAGAAGTAAGGGAGTGGATAGAGATGAAAAGAATTCAAAAAAACTAGCCGTTTGGTAGTTGAAACTGTCGACTTATTCGAATAACTCAAGAACTATTCGAATAGTTTGGATCAATCACGTGACTTGAAAAACCAGTTCCTATTCGAATAAATGGTGATTTATTCGAATAAATCAGGGTGAAAAGCCAGCACTTATTCGAATAAATGGCGATTTATTTGAATAAAACAGGTTAATTTCAGTCACCAGAAAGATCACGACTTATTCGAATAAACTAAAGATTATTCAAATAGAAAGGCAACTTCCCCACACAAAGGCTGATTTAAAATGAGTTTTAAAGGTAAGATGATAACGGAATGAACCTTAGAGATGCCATACTCTTTAACACATAATCTAAGACCTAAAACACTACCCAACTAAGGAAACAACCTCTTCGGTCTCGTTCCTTCCACCGATGCTCAAGTCCCTTCTTCACGGACGGATATGAACTTGTTGTAGCTTTGATTCTTAGCCTTGATGCACAAAATGATGATGATGTTTTGTCACCCTTTTTTCATTATCAAAACCTAAAAGACAATGGGCAAAGGACATTGACAAAAATACATATTCATGATAGCACATTGTCCAACACTAAATACTAACGGGCCGCTAGAAATGAATGTCTAGACAGACACCTTGACAAACGAGGTGGGCCGAAACCTGCTCCGATACCATAATAAAATTTAGGATGGGGTAAGGATAACTGGATTGGGCAATAAGACACTTGGGCTGAACCACATTAAAAGATTGAATCCAATCGATTAGTTAGTTCAACTCAGGAGCTTATATACCGATTATTTTTCTCTTGGACTTCCGATGTGGGATACACTCTAACCACAACCACAAGCACGTGAGGGGGCGTGTTAGAATATAAATAACTGTTCCTGGGCCACAACCACAAGCTTGAGCTTTTGGTTGAGTTGGTTCCTTGACATGATATCAGAGCCTCATTGACTAAGAGGTCACGGGTTCGAAACTCAGCACTACCCAGTTTAAAAAAATTTAAGGTTTCACGTGCAAGGCTCGAAAAAGACTATGCCTACACGTGAGGGGGCGTGTTAGAATATAAATAACTCTTCTTGGGCCACAACCACAAGTTTGAGCTTTTGGTTGAGTTGGTTCCTTGACAGGTATGGATTCATGTACGAGTAAACGGTATTTTCTATATTCCTAAACCCGGTAAAAAATTACGGGTATTATACGGGTTCTAGCCTATACGCGATCCATTGACAGGCCTAGGTAGGAAGTCCACACCCCACGATTCATGGAGAAGTTCACCCAGATTCGAGTCTCAGCAGAGGCGAAAGTATTGATTCTTTGTGTCTCATTAATTTGAGATCTGTATGAACAGATAGAGAAATCTTTTTAAATTTATGGAATAATATATCCATTATTGATTGGGTGGTGCAAGGGAGATCCCAAGAAATGCCCATCAAATGCGCACACACACTCAATGTGCCTCTAATTCTCTTGTGGTGTGTACTTATGTAAGGGTCCCCAAGTATTTTCCTTGTTCATTTGTCATGTACAAGCTTGGCCGGTGGGAGGGAGTATTATATTTGAAAAAATAAGACTTTTTTTTATTACGGAGTACTTTCCCCGTCTCTGAATATTTGTCCACTTTTGACTTTTTTTAATTAAAATTGGTAAACTTTGATATCAAATTAAATAAAAATGATATTAGGTATTGATACAAAAAGAGTTTTATTATGTTTATTATATCAACTATTTTCAAAATATTAGTTTATTTAATTAAAATATACGGAGCAATATATATTTTATTTAATTATAGATCAAAGGTTGAAAAGAGTTTACCGAAAAAAATCAAAATTGGACATATACTAACCAAGGTAGTACTCCCTCCATCCCACTGTCTTTGTCCACTTACCTGTTGGCACACCATCTAATGCACTTCTTTAATCCATTTTATCTTGTAATTTGTATATTAAAAAATTATACGAGTAAAAATTATATATTAATAATTTATATGTTAAGACAAATCAAATAAGATCACACATGACTATATTTAGGCTTACACATTAAGAGAATTTAATGAATCAAAGTGCTTAGATGAACAGTTCCAAAAGTCAAAAGTGGACAAAGACAGTGGGACGGAGTTAGTATTTAATCTAATAAAGAGAGCCGCTTCATTCGTAACCTTACTGCTAAACTGCTCTTTGCCACGTTCCCACACTCTCCGTTAATCTCCGGTCATATCTTACAACAGTTTCATGCAACTTTCCGTCATCGTCTCCGGCGGACTTACAACATTTAAGCAACAGAATATGGCGGCGCACTCAAGACAATTGAGCGTAGATTTCAAGAGCCGGGTAATCACCTGCCTGAACCGGTTAGCGGACCGGGACACCCTCCCGGCCGCGTCGAATGAGCTCGACGTCATCGCTCGAGGCCTGTCGAATGACGGATTTGCCCCTTTCCTGACCTGCCTCTCCGCCACCGACTCCTCCCACAAGCCTGCCGTTCGCCGCCACTCTGTCCGCCTCATCGCGGTGCTCTGCTCCGCTCACGGCGACGCTCTGTCTCCTCACGTCTCCAGGATGCTCAACGCCGTCCTCCGCCGCATCCGGGACCCGGACACCGCCGTCCGCTCCGCCTGCGTCGAGGCCGTTTCGTCAATCGCCGCGCAGATAACATCGCCGCCGTTTTCCTCCGCCATACTGAAGCCGATCGCGGACTCAATTTTCCGCGAGCAGGACCGCAACGCCCAGATCGGCGCCGCGCTTTGCCTCGCCGCGGCGATTGAAGCGGCTCCCGACCCCGATCGGGCGGAGGTGGGGAAATTGCTCCCGAAGATTTACAGATTGGCGAGAAACGATTGCTTCAAAGCGAAACCGCCGCTGCTATCGCTGATGGGCAGCATTGTGAGCGTCGGCGGCGCGTCGAACCGGAACGTGCTGCGTGGCTTGGTTTCGACGCTGATTGAGTTTTTGAGCAGCGAAGATTGGGCGGCGAGGAAGGCGGCGTCGGAGACTCTGGGGCGGTTGGCGGTGGCGGAGAGAGATTTGGTGGCGGAGTTTAGGTCCTCTTGCATAACCTCTTTAGATACCAGAAGATTCGACAAGGTACTCCCATTCCAAATTTATTTTCACATTCCATTTTTCGATTAATTTTCAGTTTAATTTTTAAGTAAAAATATACTCCGTATACTGTAATTAGATTGATTTTTTTTTAAATTTGCTCACTTGAGTTAAATACTTAAATGTACCCAGTAATTTATTTTAGTTTTTTTTTTCAGCGCATAATTTATTTTAGTTAAAACTAATGAAATGTAATACTCAATTTGTCCTTAATTAAATAAACTCTATGTTTACCATTCCTCGAATTAAATTATACTCACATTATTTTCTTATTTATTTTATGGAGTATTTATTTTCATTAGTCATTAGTTATTCATTACACATATCACCTTTTTATTTTAGAGCATGTGCAATGGCAAGTAAAGGGATGCCTTGCACTGCCACGTCATCTTCTTCCATGCATATCATGGCATGGCAAGGCAAGGCAAAAATGCCTTGATGAGGCATGAGTGTGACACTTCATCCTTCTTTTTTTTATTTTTTTTAAAATAATTTTTTTAAAATTTTTTATGAAAAAAATGTACAAGAAAGTAGAACAATTTTTAATAAAATAAATAATAAAAATATTTTTTATGTTTAAAAACATAAAAAAATATAAAAAAGTGATAAAAAATAATGACTTGCCATTGTAGGACTTGTCACTCCATTCATTTGCTACACGCTGACTAGACTATTTTTTATTGTTTAAAATGTTCCATGTCACCGTGTGGCATTCTATTTTCGCCTTGCCATTGTTGATGCTCTAAAACTTTATACATATTTTAAATATATTAATTTCAATACGAGTCTCGAATCGAATAAAAAAATATTTATTCGTTTTACAACTATGTCATTATTTTATAAATAAATGGGACTAAATAAATAAATAAATAAAATAAGGATAAAATTTGTAAGGGGGTATGTACTGTGTGTGAGGGTACAGGTGAAGGTGGTGAGGGAGGCTATGAACCGAGCATTGGATTGGTGGAAGGAAGTTGCGTCAACTAATTTAGACGCACGTGATCCACAAGTCAAGCTTTCACCAAAAGGTAAACACTTAATGTTTGTGTACACATAGATATTAAATATTTGTGTGTGCGTGTTTTTTTCTTGGTATACATTTTGTATACTCCAAGTGAGATTCTCATAGCATTCCCTTCTTTTTTAAGAAGACACGTGATTAAGAAAAAAGTTTGCTTCTAATACTCCATTTGTCCCTAAATATATGTCTCTTTATTATTAAGGTTTCTCGATAACTTCTGTTTCTTTCTATGTTTTCCTTAATCACTAGATAAAATAACACATTTTTTATTTTATTTTGTAGAAATTTTTATGTAATTTTAAACGGTATAATTTATACTTTACTTTCTATATCAATTTGTAGTTAAAATAATTTTAAAAGTAATTATTTTTGCACATTGTTTGTGAAATGACATCCATTGTGAATAGAGGGAGTATTATTACTCCTTCGTTCTATACAATTCTTACACTATTCTTTTTAGAATATCCCAAAAGATTTGTGTTATAAATAAAGAGTTACAAATAATAAAGAGTAGTATAACAAATTAAAGAGTAGTATAACAAATTATAATTTATATACTGCTAACTGAATTGAAAATAATTTCATTTTATCACGTGAAACTTTTTATAATTTTTACTAATAACACATTTTAAGATAATTTGTTAGCTTAAATTTAGGCATGGAAAATAAGATAGGAAACATAGAATTAATGAATTGAAGAATGTGTTTTGTTATAAGGAATAACATTTATTTGAGGAAAATGTTTAGAGTTAGCTTTAGAGTTTTACATATTTTTAATAGTATAAATTGAATTATGTTTCTCTAAACTTATAAGGTACGAGCAACTCATTCGACAATGTATTTCTCTATGCATGTTTACATTTTGAAATCAATTTTTTTATTTTTTCGTTTTGGCCAGACTATTTACAAAATTATATCTTATTATTTTATTATGATTATCCCCCAACAATTTATATATTACTCCATATTTAAGTTACTTTACAAAAATACTTAAATAAACAACTTATATGTTAAAATTGCTTATCTACACTTTGATTATTTTAAGTATTGGTGTCAAATTATAACACTTATATATCCTCTACAGTGTTACGTTCTAAAAATTGATGTTTCCAACTCCTAATTTTCCTTTCCCTTGTAAAAAGTACTCTCTCCATCCTCACATCTTTTTTTAAAATGTGTTTTATTTACAAATTATTATAAAAATAAAAATATAAAAATTTACATTATAAAACTATATAATATTTTTTATAAAATAAGAGATGACAATAATATTTTATCTATAAGAAAATGTTATCGAAAGATCGTGATAGTAATTCATATAGAATGAATGAAGTACAAGTAATTTATTGTGGTTAACCAAGGATGGAAAGGGATATACTGTAAAGATATTAATTCAATATTTCCAAAGTTTGTGAGAGGGAAGATTCTAGAGAATTCTATAAGTTGGTGGAGATGTGTAGAATTCTCTAGAATGTTGTGGAGTTTTCTAGAGAGGTGTAGAAGTCTCTAGAAATGTGTAGAATAGCCTAAAAGTTTCTAGAATATTCTAGAGCTTTTTAGAGAAGTGTGGAAGTCTCTAGAAGCGTGAGGAAGAATATAGTGTTCTCTAGAATATTCTAGAACTATGTGGAGTCCTCTAGAATCTTCTAGAACATTATGGAAGCATGTGGAGGCTTTCTAGAAGATTCTAGTGATAACGAGGTGTGTGGAATGTTCTAGAGAAGCCTAGCCTTGGTGAGGAGTATAAATAAGGAGTGTGGAGGAAGAAGAGAGTGAAGAACCAAGAAGGCTTCTTGAGAGTGCTTGTGAGTGAGGTGTAGAGAGGTGTTCCTAATACAAAGAGTGAAGTGTGCTACCCGTGTAATTGTAATCTATCTTGTACATTTCTTTATATAATACAAAGTCATTTTCTAAAGTCGTGTCTTTGTATTATTGAGTGTGTGTGTGAGTGTACAAGAGTTTGGTTGTGTGAATCGGGGAAAGAGGTCGAGATACGCATCAATTCCCCAACAGTGGTATCAGAGCCAAGGTTCACGGAGGTAGAGATACGGGTAGAGTGTGCTTTAAAGATCTCGTGTTGGAGTGATGGCAACAGGAGTGCTGAAGATGTTCGAGATTCCACTCTTTGATGGGAAAACAAACTTTACGTTGTGGCAGAGTACGATTCAAGACCTATTGGTGCAGCAAGGTCTTGATCAAGCACAAGAGGAGGAGAAGCCTACCTCCATGAGTGAGAGCGAGTGGAGTAAAATTCAGAGGAGAGCTGTTAGTACTTTCCGGTTGGCACTTGCTCCCGAGATTAAGTTTAGTGTGTTGAAGGAGACCACACCAAAGGCATTGTGGGATAAGCTCGAGAGCATCTATGCGTCAAAGTCGCTGACGAACCGGTTGTGTTTGAAGATGGAGTTGTACTCGCTCAAGATGGAAGAAGGAGGTAATCTTCATGACCACATCAACATGTTTAATCAACTAGTATGCCAGCTGATGAATGCCGATGACAAGATTAAAGACGAGGAGCAGGCGTTGTTGTTGTTAGCATCATTACCAAAGTCCTACAAGCCATTGGTGCAGACATTACTTGTAGGAAGAACAACTCTCACGGTTGATGAGGTGACTGCTGCTTTACGTGAGAGTGAGAGGATGATGAGGAATGACACTAACAACACAGGAGGTGATCGCATACTAGTTGCAAGAGAGCGTGGGCTAGGGAGGAACTCACTGAGGAGGCATGATGATCCTAGAGAGAGATTAAAGTCTAAAGTGCGTTGAGATCTAAGTGATGTGGAATGCTACTATTGTAGAGAGAAGGGTCACATGCAAGTAAAATGTCCTCAAATGAGGGAGGACTTGAAGAAGTTGAAAGATACGTCACAAAGGAAGGGTGATGGTGACTCCCACACGAATGTGGTCAGTGATGCTGATGATGGAGATTTGTACTTGGCAATGGGCGAAGAAGTTGCTAAGTCTGAGTGGGTGATGGATAGTGCTGCCTCGATGCATATATGTCGAGATCAAGATTTGTTCGACACCTTGAAGATTGATGGAGAATTTGGTCACTTCAACTTGGCTAATGGTGAGAAGTTGAAGGTCGAAGGTACTGGAAGCGTGAGGATGAAGCTTCACAATGGTGCAAGCCACATTCTTCATAATGTGAGGTATGTGCCTACTAGCAATACTAATGTCATATCATTGGGTGCAATGACATTAGAAGGGTGTAAGTTCTTTGGCACGAGCAAATGGTGCAAGGTGTTCAAGGGGAGACGTTTGATCATGAGAGGATGCAAAAATGAGAAGAACGTTTGCATCTTGGATGGAAGAGTCGTGCAGAGTAGCAGCACTACACCGAAGAAAATGAAGTTTTCAAAGGATGTGAAGGTCTTTGGAAATATGAATTAAG